ACCCTAAGCCCTAAGGCCCAAAACCCTAAGACCCTAAAGCCCCAAAACGACCCTTAACCCCTAAGCCCTAAGCCCTAAAGCCCCAAAACCCCAAAAGCCCTAAAACCCAAAGCCCTAAACCTAATCCCTAAACCCTAAACCCTTAACACTAAACCCTAAGCCCTAAGGCCCAAAACCCCTAAGCCCTAAAGCCTCAAAACCCCAAAAGCCCAAAGCCCTCCCCGTCAGGCGTTGCTTCGCTGCAACTCCGTGGTGAGCAGCGCCTCGCTGAGTGCAACTGCCAGCACCGGACCATGGACTGAGGCTAGGGCTTTAGGGGTTTAGGGGTTTAGGCTTTAGGGCTTTAGGGGTTTGGGGGTTTAGGGTTTAGGGGTTTAGGGGTTTAGGGTTTAGGGGTTTAGGGTTTAGGGTTTGGGGATGAGAGTTTGGGGATAAGGGTTTGGGGATGAGGGTTTAGGGGTTGGGGTTTAGGGTTTAGGGTGTAGGGTTTAGGGGTTTAGGGGTTTAGGGGTTAGGGTATAGGGGTTTGGGTTTAGGGTTTGGGGATGAGGGTTTAGGGGTTGGGGTTTAGGGTTTACGGTTTAGGGGTTTAGGGGTTAGGGTATAGGGGTTTGGGTTTAGGGTTTGGGGATGAGGGTTTAGGGGTTGAGGGGTTAGGGTATAGGGTTTGGGGATGAGGGTTTAGGGTTTAGGGATTAGGGTTTAGGGGTTTAGGGGTTAGGGTATAGGGTTCGGGGATGAAGGTTTAGGGTCTAGGGTTTAGGGTTTTTAGAGTTTAGGGTTAGGGTTCAGGGTTTAGGGCTAAGCCAGGGTTTAAGTTAAGCGCCGTTGTCTAAGGCTGGAGTTTGGGGCTTCTGGGCTTAGGGTATAGGGTTTAATCTACATGTTTCGTTCAATTCATGTCTGTCGGTCTCCTAAACGACTTGTCGTGATCTACTCTGTGGTCTCAACCGGCCTTGAACAACCCTGTAACCACCCCTAAACCCTAAACCCTAAACCCTAAATCCCTAACCCCTAAACCCTAAACGCTTAACAACATAAACTTCCCGCCCACCTTGAACCCGCGAGCACTACACCCCTAAGGACCGCCAAGCCTCTTTTAAAAGCTCAACAAGCCTTGAAAATACGCAGAGCTCTGTAGCCTGACTTTAGGGTTGAGGGTTTAGGGCTTAGGGTTTAGGGGACCTACCACTGATCCTTCCAGAAGAACGCGTACTCGGAGGCTCATGGGTAGTGTTATAAGTAGGGTAACTGTAGCTACAACCCCCACTCATAACCCCTAAACGAAAAACCCTAAAAGCTAAACCTTAAACGCAGCCACCCATGAGCCTCCAAGTATATCCCCTCCGGTGCAGGCGCTGTTGTGTTTTCGCGCTCTGCATTTGGCAGGGATCCAAGTCCAGTCCTCTGCGTGCCTGAGAAGAATTTCAAGTTTGTGTAGGGGCTTGGGATTCAGGGTTAAGGGTTTCGGTACTTAGGATTTAGGGTTGAGGGTCTTTAGAATTTTGAGGTTTTCGATTTAGGGTTAAGGGTTTTGGGTTTCGGATTTTTGCGGTTCAGGATCTAGGGCTCAGAGTGTAGGGTTTGGGCGTCTTGGATTTAGGTTGAGTGTTTGGGGTGTGCTTTAAATCTTGCGTTGCAACCTCGAGTCGAAAGCAATGCAGCATGTGCCGAGTGCTAGGGCTTCATGACATGCAGCAATGGCCCAAACTGTGGGTTCAGGGTATATACGGGAGTTTCCGAACATAGGGGATCCTAATATAGTACCCTAAATAGTAGGTCCCTTATTATAAGGACCCCCAAAATAAGGTACCCCTATTTTCGGAAACCCCCATATGCGGCTCATGGATTCAATGGAATTTTGGGTTGAACATGCTTCAGGACGCCTGCCAGTTCAGGTTTCGAGGGGGTTTAGGATTCAATATTCTACACTCTCATGGTTCAGTTCCTGAAATCGTACAGAATTTGAGTTCCAGTATCGCATACTGCTGGCCTTTTCCGTGGGCCCCCAGAATCGAGTAATCATACGCTCATACACACTCCGCGAAACACGAACATTCATTACTACTCTACTCAACCCCAACACCGATTTCTTGTGTAAGTACTTTTCTTCCACGCTCGATGTTAGGGTTTAGGGCCCTAAACCCTAAACCCTAAACCCTAAACCCTAAACCCTCATCGAAATCTTGGCCTCCTTGATGTTAGGGTTTAGGGCCGGGGTGAAGGCCAGAAGGCCAAGGGCTTTCGGGTTGCGAAGAATATAGAAGCCGAAATAATCACCTATACTATTTTTGGGGGGTTCCTTATTCTAATTGTATTTTGGGGGTTCCTTATTCTAATTGTATAGCATAATATAACCCCCCAAGCCCTATTTTGATTATTGAGGCCCCTATATAACCCAGGTATCTGGACCTGTTGACTGCAGCTGCTGGCCGCTGGCGCCTGGCCGTACCTTAGGGGTACTTAGAATTAATTTGTAATCTTTGGCTACTATAAACCCTAAGAAGCAGCTAAAATTATAATTTTTGCTTGGGGTCTAAGTTCAGTATAGGTACATCTTTCAACAAAAGCCGAGCTTGGGACTGTCCGTGGGCTCCTGGCTCTG